TGAAAATAAACCAGAAAAGCTGAAAATAAATCAGATTGCAGTTCGTAATTAGTATTCGAAAAGCAAATAAATCAGATAGCGCTTTGTTACTAATGAAATGCGGATAGAGGATATTTGATAATGGATATCAAGACGCAAATTTTACCATGTCACTGAAACTTTAGAGAAAATCAAATTACTATTTTTAGTGAACCACTCTGTTTAGCGCATTTCTTAGTATCTCGAAAACGTGTTAGCAACATAAAACTTGTAAGAAGTTATAACATTGGAACATATTTATAAATAAGTATGTAATGTCTTGTAGCAATACAAAATCAAACAAAGTCTTACGGTTCTCCAATACAAATATTTTCCAATTATTACTAGTAATAAGTGGAAGTATAGTAATTTTTAGATATAGTAATAATACAAATGCCGATTAAAAATATTTCAGTAAAGCATAAACACTCGTTAATAACGCTGGAATATGCAAAAAAAAAAAAAAAAAAAATTAAATAGATTCATTTTTTTTTAGATTAGTAATGCTCAATTTAGCCAGCAAATGCCTTTCTTTTTTAGTTAATGCAAGCCGTACGTTAAGCTGTACAAAATAATTTTAAAAGTGACCAGAAGTAGTCATTTAATAAGACTAACATGGATGAGTCTTACAAGATCAGAAAGTCCGTAGCCTCAAGAAAGAAAAAAGGCAAATTTATAACAAATTGAGAAACAAAATGTGTTGCGTTCTTATCAAAGTTAGTTGCTTTTCTTAAAAAAGCATTTCAATGCATTATCACAAAAGGAAGTGGGTACCCAACTCTGTATCAACTTCACTTTAAACTTGTGTCGTCATTAATTGAACCTGGTCTTCTGTAATGGCTGTATCATTTTTGATGAGCTTTATAATTTTTTTGTCTGCTTCAACGCTGAAAGATCTTAAAATTTGGATAAAAAAAAAGGTGCTAATGATTCAAAATGTCCTCACAGGTTAGATTAAAAAATTGGTGTTCTGCTCTTCAAACATGCTACTTAAATTACAAGGTATTATACCTTAAATCAATTTTTTATATTCTCAGTTCTCAACAATACTAATATATTTGCTTGAAATATGTTTTTGAGCTTCAAGGCTACCTTAACAAAGCTTAATAATTTCAAAACTCAACAACCTTATACGATAGAGTAGCCCGGTAAGGTTCTCAAAAAAATCATGTCATCTGGTGCACTGTTATGGAAAAGCTTCATAAAGTAAATAAAATACTTTAAGCCATTGAATTGATTTGAACTAAATTGCAAACAAACTGAATGGATCTCTGTCTATTTTTTTTCAAAAGGTTAGATCAAATTTTGACCGCTTTGAGGAAGTAGCTATTGGTGGGTACCAATAAGTGTTGTTGACCAGTAACAAAGATTCCAATCATTCACACGATAAATGTCTTTTGAGGTATCAGACTTAAACAGAAAAATAGTTTCCTCATAAAGTTAACGTCATCTTGAATCTTGAAATTGTAAATAGTGTTTGAAATTCGTAGTCATGTTTATGCATTACTTTTTTTTGCTTTACATTTTTTTTCTGCTACCTAAAAATTATGTAAGTGTCACATCAAACGTTTATTAAACTTTAAAACCAGGATGATATACCTAACGTCCAAAATTAGACAATCAATTTTTATCAAAATTGGTGTCGGTATTTCAAGAACTTTACTTAATTCTGGTTACTCGGTTAAAGATACTTAAGCATAGATTTTTCAATGACAATGTTATTTTATAGATGTTTCTTAGTAACACTGCTACAAATTGTATTCGAGAATAGTCCTTTTTAACTTTAAAAAAAGTGAAATTTTTTTACATACATAATAGTTTTTAGAAACTTCTATAAGCTTTAGCCATTCTTCACATTTAAAATATTCTTGTAAAAGAAATTAACTTGATAATCAAAAAGATTTTATCTAGTAATAGTGCAACCAAGCTGTAAACAGCAAAATGTAAATATTTCTTTTTATTCTACGGAATTGTTTCAAAAATGTTAATATATAAGATCATAATTTTTGAAAGCTGAGTATATTATGAAACTTAAAGTTTATTAATATATATACAGAGCCGACGACACAGGGGACTGGGAAGGTACGAGCCTACCCACTTTTTTTCTTAAAGACCTTATTTTTTAATTTTTTTAAGAAAATTCTAGATATAAAAAACTTTCTTTAAAAATTGATGATTTTGCATGAAAATACTTTTTTCATCCTTATTAAGGATGAAAATACTTTTTTCATCCTTATCATCCTTATTCAATCATCCTTATGTAGGTATAACTTTTTTGTAATATATAAAATATATATTATAGATAATCATACTGTTTTGTTAATGTTATGTTAATATAGTGTAATATGCTCGAGAAATATTATATTGTAATCGCTTATGTACTAAGCAATAGTTTACACTTCAGTACCGAGTTCCAGTAACTAATTTAAGTTATATGTTGTTTGTTTGTTTTTTTTATTTTTTTTCCGCAATAGTTTATTTAAACTGTAAAACTCGATGTAAATACAAATTACGGAGGCAAGAAGAAGGCATAATGTTTCTTATCATCCCCTTAACCGTCCCCAGCCCCTTAATCGTTTCTCTAAATATAAAATAAGAAAAATTAAGAAATCGTAACACTATATAATATAAAACGTTTTTATAAATACTTTAAAAATAAAAATAAAACGGTTCTGATGTCCTATTTAAGCTTGGTCAAACATTTTTTAAACTTATTTGTTTTTTAATTATTGCTTAAGAAAAAAAAATTGAAATTAAAAAATGAAATATTTAGCATTAATTATTTTTTTGATATATAATTTTTTTTTTGATATTTTTTATAGTATTTACTTTAAAAAGTATAAAAGCAAATAGGCATAATTATAGGGCTTTCTTTTTAAAACAGAATATACCTAGAAATATCTGTAGATATTTCCTCGTATACACTCGTTTCAAAATGATATAGTTGTTTAAAAGTTCTTCATGGATGAAGTATTTTTAAACCACTTTATCATTTTCCATGCATGGAGTATTTGACAGTATCTTTATAAATCATAAGCTTTTATAAAAGAAGAAGCAAAAAAGAGTGACATGATCCTTTCTAAGTTTGCAAAGCTGATAATGATAATCTTTCAAACTTTGGGTAAGTTTATCATTAGTAACCCGCCTTACATCAAAAAAAACTAAACGCTACGTCGCTAAGAGGTTTTGCTTCAATTTAGATTTTAAATGTTTACTTAAAGACATTTATATATATTTTAATTTATAAATAATGCTTGAGATGACTAAAACAACTGACATTGGTTCTGTTTGCATGCTTTTGTTTTTTAACTATATATTTATTTTTTTTAATTTGTACTGCACCAAGCAATGTTTATGTAATTAAGATCACTTATTTTACTTTATATTATGTTTCATATAATTGTTCTTGTAATTCTAGTTATACGTTCCAATACTTTGTACCAGTAGTCTGTTCTAGTAATATACTTCAGTAGCATGCTCCAGTAAAACTTTGCATATATTTGTTTTTGTAATTCATTCTAGTAATACGTTCCAGTAGTTTGCGCCATTATTTGGTTTTAGTAATATATTCTAGTAATTCGCTCCAGTATAATTTTGCATTAATTCGTTCCTATAAAAGGTTTGTAAATAGTCTCCAAGGCAATGCCTTTAAGAATAACCTGAATATTTCTGTTGTTCTCGTATCCCATTTTGGATTTAGTAGAATGACGTAAATCTGTGCTACAATGAAGATACTGCGTTTATCTTGCTTAGTTTCTCTTTTTCTTTTTTTATGTGATAAAATCATGCAATTAAAGATTTAATGAGGTCATAATCTCATAAAATTATGTATCAGTTTTACATTAGCTTCACTCTATCATTTTTATTACTACCTTAAAGCTGAGATTTTTTTCGAATGAGATTCTTTTTGTAAGATTTTTTCTGCAATGTTTTTATCTGCACACTTCTCGTATAATCTCCCAGATTTAGACAGACATAGAAATTTATATTCCTTTTCGTAAATTTCAATTCAACTTTTTTTTTACCTTTACAACTACGGTCTAATCGAAATTTTTTATAAGAACAATTTATAAAAAAAAAAGTGGAATCTGGAGATAAGTAATTGAACGCAGTGAATTATATTCAAAGTTAAGAAAGATTATTGAGTAAGATTATAAAATAAGTCGATTTCATTTTGATGTTATATTACTAAAAAATTATTTACTTTTATTATAGAAAATATATATACAAAAATAATAAAACATTATATAGTTTGATAAATAATATAAATTTAATACAAAAAGTATTAAGACTTTGTAAACTTTTAATACCTAAATTTTTATATTAAACTAAATTTAAATATACTTAATTTTATTAATACAAATAAATTTAAATAAACTTTATAGTAATGGAATTTAAACTCAAAGTTTAACTAAAAGTAGTTTTTTATAGATGTTTTCAAAAACTTTACAAAACTTCTGAATTATTTTGATGCACGAAAAAACATGTCATAATAGTGTCTCTTTTAATCTCTTTAATAGTGTCTGTTTTAACGAGAAACAAGAGTGGCAACCACTCCCTGTGGTTTAAAAACTATTTTTGTATTAATTAGGTATATATTGTGAGACGACTATAAGTTTACATTATGCTTAATTTTAAATACTATAAACTACAAAAAACAAGTTAAGTTTTATATTCGTCTATTTAGGTTTTTCTTCTTCGTATTTATCTCAACAGTTTGAGATTAGGAAATCTCTTTAATAAAATGATTTGCAATGTTTATCTTCAACATACTATGAAAACCTTTTGACTTCAAACTTTCAAAATCATTTTTCAAATTGTTTATGAGTGTTTCTAAATTTAATTTTGTTTTGTGCCAACAGAAAACAAAAATAATTTTAGAAACACTTATATCAATTGTGTCAAGGATCTATTTTGTTGTTATCTTTTCAATATACAAACATTTTTACGCCTTAAAATATATTTTTTAAATTTTAATATAGGTTGAAAAAATATGCCCATTGCTGTAAACAAATCCGATATTCTACAACCCGTTGTTCTTAAATCAGGTAAATTAAACATCAAAATCAGATAATTTCTTGATTGGTAGTTATTCTATTTATTTTAGTAACTTTTTTTGTTATTTTTGAAATTAGATTTTATATTTAGAATAAAATTATTTTTATAAAGTTTTTAAATTAACAATAGGATTTTATGTCACTTTTCTTACGTAGACTTAATATACTGAACTTGTTCTGTGAGACAAGTTCAGCATATAAATATTTAGCTTATAATTGTTTATTGTATAAATATTAAGCATATAAATATTCAGTATTAAAATCTTCTCGTTTTTTGGAATCTAAAGTTAAATATTTCTTGGGGTAAAAAGTTAAACTATTTTTTTGAAGTCAAAAGTTAAATAATATTTAAACGGTCTCAAAGCGTTAATAAAAAGCTTTAGTCAGCAAAACAGCAACAAAGAGAAACTAGATCTTCCAAGACAAGCCATGGGACATTGTATAGGACAATTAATGTGATATTGCATCAGATAAGTCACATTGCATTAGACAAGTTATGTAACATTGCATCAGATAAATCATGTGTCATTAGATTATAAATTAGACATGTTATATAAATGTATACCTATCATCTCACGTAACAAAAGTAAAGTATTAAGTTCAAAAGAAAATTGTTTGTCAATAAATGAAATTGGAAAACAAGTAAAAGAAACGGGTACATTAAAAGCACAATAGAAAGCCTGACTAAAATTTTTGTAATGGTTAAAATTAATTTATTACGATAATCAAATGATAGAAAATAGCAATACAAAAGTTTACGTATTATTTTAAACATAAAGTAACCAGATGTTGTTTCACATTAAAAAGAACTTTATAAGTTAAGCGTAAAACGTCTCAAATTTTTAAGTAACGCTGGTTGATCGTTAGCTTTAAAACAATCAATAACTATATTTTTCCTTGGGCAAAACGACCACTTCGTCTCACGGACTATAACGCTCGAGGGCTCTCATTTTCCGTGGGCTTCTTTGCAACATTGGCGTTTAGTTTGTTTTATCTCTGGGCAGCACAATGCATTGTTCTTTACCATATTCTGGAGTCTCATTCTAATTATTTTTACCTCTTACTTGTGCAAGAAGTTTATTTGAATCTTTATCATCTCATACCTGCCAAAGGTCTCGTGCATGTCAACACATTTTGTTCACTTTTATCGTTTCTCCAAGATTATCTTTGTAATTATTCCAATTTTGCATTGAGACCCGCATCGGTTATCCAGGGGTTGATATCATTCCTTATCACATTTAAATTTATTGTTTATCTCCTTATAAGGATTGTGTGCGTTCTTACTGTTGTTAACTCTTTTTACTCTAATTTTGTATTGATATAACTTATTTGCCAAAAAAAAGTTTAATTCTTGAACAACACATACATTGGTTCAATCTTTAAGATGACGTCATATTGCATACGGTGTAGGTCCACAGTCGATTACTGTAAGATAGTGCTATCCTCATAATGAGTCACATCAATACCAATTCTTTGCCATATTTTTTTTACTTCCATTTTCCTTTTTGAACATTACATTAGACTCAGATCTATTGATTGACATGTTATGCATTTCTCAACCATTAGTTTTACTACTTCCTTGATTACTGACGGCTCAATTATACCAGCAAAGTACAATGTTTTATTCACACCATATTGTTTTGTAGATCTATGAACATGCTCGATTTCTTTGGATGACAGCAAAGTCCTTATAATCCAACTTGCTGCCATTTCAAAGGGTTTATCGACCATTTTTAACCAACTATTAGACACTCCAGAAAGAGTATAGGCATAGTTAAACTCCGAAGCGACAAGCCTAATATCTTCTTTATGTTAGTAGTACATTTAAGTCCATTCAAGGCTCATATTTAGTCCAATAATTACTGTTTTAAATTCGGATATGTTCATGTGTTGTGTCATCTTTTCTTAACCAATAAGCGTCTTTTATTAGATTACCATCAACAATTATGCATTCATTCACAAAAATACCATCAATGTACAATGACGTTCTTTTTCAGATTGTTTTGATTTGCGCACTTTTTACAACACTGTTTTCGTTATGACTAGCGCAACTCGTGCTAAATAAAATCTTTTTCTACGCATAACTTTGGTAAGCCCAGAGTTTCTCATCAATAGTTGCATAAACTGAAGATAAATCAATTGTTAAAAAATTTTCTCTAATCTGTCTCCAGTCTCAATTTTTTTAGCACACGCCTCTGTGGTTGCAGTGAATGCTTCAATAAACGTGTTCAGCTTCTTAAAGTCTAATACTGGTTGTATTTTTCCTTTATTTTGCTGCACCACTGCCATAAGAGAAGCCAAACCCTTTATTGAACCATTTTCTTCAAATTGTACTTTTGCAGCCATTTTTTCTCTAACTACCCTTCAATTTCTTTTTCTTAATAGCGTTTTAACTCATTAGGGGTAGTGCTTTCAGCAATCTTATACAGGTAGTTTGAAGTCAACTACAAGTGATTTTGCAAAAACTTTATTAGGCGTGACATTTTGAGCTCAGCTAACGCCTTTGCAATGTTGTTGTTGTTTATCTTTCAATTACTATTTCTTTGTAGATGTTGTCATCTACAAAGAAATCTTTTACAAAATGATTGGGGAATTTATACTCATAGCAAACTGATTGTGTTTGATCTTCAAGCGACTTTATTTCACATTAAATAGAGTAAAATAAGCGTAAAACGCCTGAAGTTAAAATTAGGCACTAAATTATAGGAACCGTTATAAAAAATATCAAGAAAATTGTAAAAATGTTTTCCCAAAAAACAAAAATGTTTAAAAGGTTCCAAAACAAAAATTATTTACAAAAGTTCGTAAAAATTGAGTTTTGAAAGATCATCCATTTAATCCGCGGATAGCAAAACCCGAATGAGCAACTTGTTGCTTATGCTTGACGAAGTTAAAATTAAAAAAATGATTGTGTTAAAAAAGCATTTCTAAATTTGAAATTTTATTTCAACACCAATGATTTAACTAAGACGAACGAAAAGGAATGTAGAATTATATCTAATTTTGTAGTATTTTTAGTGCCGATAAAGCAACTGCGGTAGCACTTTGTTGGACGGTAGCACTTTGTCGACGAGGCGCAACTTTAACTTTTTCTGACAATGCATAAAAGTTTATTTTGACATAAATAAAAGAACAACAACCAGAAAGCTGAAAGTAACTGTATGATGCTTTGAGTCACCGAATTATAGAGAGAGTAACACCGTTACGGAACTTAGTATATCTTCATGGCCAGGTTACTTTATAAAAAATTCCAAAAAATTTTCTTTCAAATGCAAGTACCCAAAAAATTAAAAGTGTTTAAACTCGGTAGATATAATAACAGCATCAAAGCTTCCCTGACCAAAAACTTAGAATGCGAATTTAAAATATTAAATCAACTTCTTTAACAAAATCGATGTTAACAAAAACAAAAAAGATGTTAAAACTCTAATAATTTAACATTTTAGATTGTGGGTATATTATAATATATAATATTTAAATTTGCATTGACTTATGACTTATAGACAAGTTGCGTTTATCTTTGGAGCCTATCCAGCAAACATTCTAGAGTTGAATTTAGTGGACCTATATAAGCATTTTGAGCGGACCACTGTAGCTTTTTTCATCGGTTACTTAGACCTCTGGAGGCAGCCATCAAAACCGGTGCGTTAATTACTAGCCACCGTATTACATGTTAGAAAGTTATCGGCTTGCAACTTTTGGTGTTATCCCAGTAATCCAACTAACCCAGCAAACATTTTTTTTTATATTTGCGATGGACCTATGTAGTATTTTTTTATTTTCACATTTTCTAGTAAAGCTCTCCCTGCATTTTATTATAAATATTACTGTGTATACAACTGTGTATACATTTCTGCAGTCTCGAAAGAATATTTAAAAAATATTTTAAATTTAATATCAAATCTAGATAACATCACTGACAATATTGCATGCAGTTTTCTGATAAGAACAGGACAAACATCCAATATTTCAGCAGATTTTTTAGCTTGCTTAAATACACAACGTGTGGAGTTCCCATCATTTGAGGTATCAGTACCTCTCAGAGCGTGGCTGTTCAACAAGACCAATCTCATTTTGGAATGCAACTTGTAGTTTGTTCTTTTTGGTGGCAATCATAATTTTATCATATACAATTCTTGCTTGCCATTTCTGATTTAGAATATTGTATGCAATATGCAAAAAAGACTCAAACAGCTTCCTGCCCAGCAATTGTCACTTTAGAAACTGGGAGTGAGTTGCTGTCATTTTTAATTGATTTAAATTCTGCTAAGACCTCTACGTTTGTTTTTTTCATGTATTTAAACCGAACAAGTCTGCATTAAGTAAGCGATAAAGTTTTAATTTTTTCAAACAAGCTGTCACTTGGCATTTTTAAAATTTTTCTTTTGCACTTTTCAAATCATGGTATGTTGGGTAAATAGCTAAATTTAGATCTGAAGCATTGTTATGGAGAAGTTGCTATGTTGTTTTTGACAGATTAGCATCTAAGAAGAGTGATAATGCTTTGTCAGATGAAAAACTTGCTTAAGCTGATGTAAATAAATTTTTTGACAATCTTAACCTTTGCATTTCTTCAATCAAAGTCATAAAACAAATTTGTATGCTTTGAAGCTGCATATATTATTTTGTTACTAAAGTACATATATATAATTTTAGAAACTTTTCTGTCCTGTGATTGTGTTGAAGATTCATCAAATTTCGATATAATAAAATCATTGCTTAGTCCAGACTAGCAAAAACTGGCAAAATACTTTCTTGATGTTTTTAGTATCAAGGATGTATAATCGAATGGAGGGAGAACAAAGCCAAAAAATGTTTAAAATTGTAGTACAGTTTTTTTTGTTTAATTATTCTAGCGGCAAGTCAAAATAACGCTTTTGCGTTGAAAAAAGAAACTTTAAAATTTAGCTGGTAACCTTTGTAAGCTGTAATTTAAATGGATTACTCTCTTAAAAGTTGACTAGATAAGTTTTTAAGAACTGTTTCAACTGTCAAGTAATAATCACAACAAAAATCATGATCAACGTAAAGTAATCGTTTTTTAAATACCTTGATACTAGGTATATATATCGAAGTTTTGGCCAATCTCTACTACTTGGTAGAACCTTATCTTTTGCTTCCCCGTTTAGCTATAGATTCGTTATGTTCTTAAAGAACGTTTTTTCGGCAAGGAACTTATTATATCTTTTCAGGATTTTATTTTGTGTTGTAGTATTTTTGTTGGATTTAAAAACAAATTGCTATATTCTAAATTTAGAGATATAAAATAACCTTTTGTCAACCGGCAAAAATCTTATCAAGATATTTTAATTCTAATCTTATCAAAATTTTTATTAAGACATTTTAATTATTAATTTTATTCTAATCTAGAAATTTATTATTAGTTGTTCAAAAAGCACAACAATTAAGCAACCTTAAATATTGTTTATATATTTTTAAAAGTTCTATTTTTATTCAACTACCTATGACGTTTTGAAACAATATAGTTAGATAACTATTACTAAAAGTTGAATGTGATTGGTCAAATTATGATAACTACGCGGTGTTTAATAGAAAATTGTTACTACAAAGAATGTTCCTTGAGAAATGTTGTATTTTAACTTTGTTCGCCTTCAGTCTAAAGGTGAGTTTCCACTCATCCGTTTTTTCACGGGAACGGGATAGGAAAGGGAAAAATATTATCGGAAAAATAATTCTTGTATCTACGTCTTAATATACTTCCTTGCTTAGGTTGTTTAAGGCCAGTCTCGGGTTTACTTCGATTATCTGCGGGTGACGTAATAATTTGTCGTTCAATTCTTGCGGGATGATTTTAAAACATTGTTTTACAATAGAGCGGTGACTTCTAGACTTAAAAAGCCCGACAAGAAAGTTTTCTCAGCAATTATTAATTTTTCAAATATATATCATGAGTTCATAAAATGCTATGAATTATCATATAATACAATGAATTCGTAACAAACCATATTATTTATTGTTCTAATCTTAAATATTACGAATTATTAACCTACCCGACAAATTAATTCTGTTGTTACGACCCATCAAAAAGCCATTAAATACAAGCCGTTAAGTATTAACGAATTCCCGACATTTAAGAGTTTTTTGTTGTAAGAAATGACAAAACGTCGGATTTTCTGCCTGACCTTCTAGATAAAATTATGGATTAATGGTAGAATACAATATCAATGTCGTTTAGGTCGCATATAACTAGAAAAGTTGTTACTAACAATTTAATTGCTTATTTTATCATATACTTATCTTTTAGTTAAAGGACAATTTAAGTCAACATCCATACTGTCGTCAATAAAAAATTTTTTAACTTTGCACAACTTTTGCTAAGTATTATTCAGTTAAGACAACAACTTTTCAAAAATGTCTAGAAGGTAAGTCGAACTACCTTAAAAATTTGGACTGGCCTTAAACAACCTGAGTGGTAGTATACATCAAGTACTTTTGAAAACATCGGTTACCGTTTATATTGCTTTATTTATTCACAAACAACGAAAAAATTATACAATTTAAAAAATAGTCTGTACAGTTAGTAAAAAAGTGTAAAAAAAAAGCGTAAAAACCAAAAACAGTTATATTTTTTATAAGGACATTTTGATGATCAACTATACGTTTATATACATATAAAAAATACGTAGCATAAGCTTTTCTTACTTTTAAAAAAAAATGAATCAAAAAACTAATAAAAATTTTTAACATTACCTTGCTAACGGAATTTTTATATTTTGCAGTCAGTTTTTACCACTTAGTTATAATGTATTATCTTAAATAATATTATTTTCGTCTATTAGATATATTTAACTGATTTTTTTTCAAAATATTTAGCTTTCATATAATTTATATTTTAGGTTTTCCCGGTTCTGACCTGTGGTTTCTGAACCATCGTTTTGAATTTTTATTTTTTACAAAAAAATAAAAATTCAAAACGGAAAACTGCATGCAATATTGTCAGTGATGTTATCTAGATTTGATATTAAATTTAAAATATTTTTTAAATATTCTTTCGAGACTGCAGAAATGTATACACAGTTGTATACACAGTAATATTTATAATAATTATATTTATAATAATTTTTAGTGGGCATTTTTACCAATATAAAAAATTGGCTACTGTTATGGTTTATTAAACAAACTATTATTTGCTACCAGCTCACAGTGGTTGAAAAAAAAAATCAAAAAGTAGCTATAATTCCAAATAATATAAGATTTGGACCCAATAATACATTAACAACTCACTAACTCTTAAAAGACTAGGATTTAATTTCTACAAAGTAAATGTTCTATTAGGGCTAAAGAGCAAAAAGAGTGAAAAATAGAGTCAACGAACTCTCGTCCCCCCTATATGAATAATACTAACTGTAATATATGGTACCGAGTAGAGTTAATAATAAACGAAACTTTAATGTTGAGACTAAAACCGGTGACTTCAAATATGCCCAGAGCTCAATTTATGCTGGATCTCTTACTTTTATAGCGAATGCTTTAGAAGTAACATATCCAGGATCTTCTAAAATAAACCTTGAATCTCTTGCTTCTAAAACACTGCGCCACGGCTGCTTTAATAGCAAAAGTAATTAATGATTTTCTATTGTTGTTTGAATACGTTTTATTCTCTCACTTAATTTGTATTCTTAGGAAAAGTTTTAATATAAAACCTACTTAAAAATAAACATAGATAATTCAGTGATATTTTTTATTTATGGTTACTAAATTCATTATTGAAATTTTACCTCCAGGAACATTATGGTGATTATCAACAGTAGCTGAAAGTGCAATAGTAGTACGAACAATGGCAAATATTGATTCGAAATACATTCTTGCTTCTGAACAATGGTAGATGTTGATTTGAAATTGTATTAATTGTATTTTATGAGTTTTTTGTTGAAAGTATTTTTTCTTTATATTAATTGAGTTTTTGCCATAAAAGCAATTGTTGTTTAGCTTTATTGCTTTTGAACCATGCTACGGCTTCTAATGAGAACTTTTTCAATTCAAACCTGAACTATTACGGAAAAAAGTTTGAACTTAATTTTATATTAAAACACAAAAGTAATACAAAGTAGAAGTTTTTATTTTTTTATCATCATTAATTAGGACAAAAGTAATTGTATCAATAAGTACTCTTCATAGTTTGCTTTAAAAAAATTAGTGCATCTGAAGTTTCATCGTTTAAAAAAAAAATATATATTTTAGTAGCAAAAAGTTTATTTATGACATTCGGATTGGACAAGTATTTTATGAGATAAACCAAATAAATGTTTCTTTTTTCAATTGTTTTATATTCAAATACCTGTTCAACAAGTTGACTTATATGTGTATTAGCTTCATGAAGTTTTTTCTTATCAATTCAATCACAATTTCAAAGTACAAAAAATCTCCTTTTGAAACATCTCACAGTAAACGTTTCATAGTAAAAAACCTTTCGAAAGAGTATTAACGGACAGTTTTAGTGGTTTTAAAGCAAAGCAAAGTTCATTTATGACTCATTTTTAGTTAGAGGAAAATTAATACTCATATTAATCAGAGTTTCTTTTACATCTGTTTGCACCTCCAAAAAACGCTCACGCATAGTTTGCTTCATCTTGTCCTTGAATCACAAATCAAAGCTTTTTCTTTTCCAAACATTTCAATTATATTTGGTTGAAGTTCATCATCATTGCTCTCTGATGATCTACAATATTTTTTAACCAATTTTCTTATTTTTGCCACAGTTTCTTGATATTCAAGTTTCAATGATGGAGTAGAGTTTTCACGAACTGCATGAACAGTTTGAGTAGTATCACCAACTTCAGTCCCATTATCATCATTACTGTAACCTTGATCATAATCTACAGCTTCCATATCATTATCAACAGGGTTATTATCAAAACCCTGAGCATTAACTTTGTTTTTTATAAAGAGCGCATCAATCAAACATAGATGAATAGCGTTGTTGTAACACATTTGATGATCAGGTTTAGTGTCATGACCAATTTTTTTATTAAGCTAGCCCCATCAGTAACAGAAGCTACAATATCTTTGTCCAAATTTAAATTAAATGCATTAAGCTTATCACCGATCAATTTAATGGCTGTTGTTGCTGGCATTGTACCTTGGATTTTTAACATTCCAAGAGATTGAAATCCTTTGTTATGATATGGGTTTAAGTTCATATATCTTCATCAAATGTAAAACTAAATTTACGATTATTTTCAAGTTTCATTTTCAAAGAACTTAAAACTTGTTTCTTGACTAACCTGAAGTATTTAATGACATGATCGCAAACAATTTAAGAATTTTGAAGGATTTGGTACCCGTGGGAACGAAATGCTGATCGCAAAGTTTCACTTTTAGCAATGGTGTGAAAGCTGATTTCATCAATAGCTGATAGTCGACTTAAAATTTCATGAAGAGTTTTATGGTCATCCTTAAAAAAACTTTTAATTCGCGATATTTTGGCTGCAGGAATGTTTGCTGCAGCCTCCGAAGCAGAGTTGTTGCATTTAAGAATTTCAATTTTTTTGTTTTGTTTTTGAGCACTTTGTAATAGTTGTTGTTGCTAAGTTGATGTTGTTGTTGTTGTTAAGCTGGGTATTTTGAGAAATAATTTTACAGAGTTACACTTTAAACTCTGTAATTCTTTGGAAAATTAAAAATAGCCTCATGGCTCAGATCAAATTTTTTATTTTGTACAACTAAAACTTTTATTAGCTCATCAAAGCTATATTATCTCTTTTTTTTTTTTTTTTTTCAATTCAGAAATTTTTAAGGATTTTTTTTTATGGGAGTCATCATGGGATTTCTTAACAAATGAAAATATATAACGCACGTAACTATTTTAATTTTGAAACTTAAAGTTTTAAATTTTAAAATTAAAACAGTTACGTGTGTTATATATTTTCACTTGTTAAGAAATCAAAGTTTTTCATTTGTTTACATAATCCATTTGTGACTTCAACTTTAAAAGTGTTGTTTTAAAAAAAAAAAAAGTATTGCAAAACAAAAATTAGTAGTAACAATATATATGTATGGATATGTTTTAGGATGGAAAGAAAAATTTTTTTTTTCAAAATAAATTCTAATTGTTACCAAAAGTTGTCACTTAGGTAGGTGTCTTGGCAAAAAATGTTTTTTTTTGATAATATCTTCTGCCCTCTAACAGCAATTTAATTTTGGAAAATTTTGAGTTTTTTATCAAAAGTTGATATTTTTTTCAAAATAGTCTTTTACCAATTGTCTTATCATAGAGTGTATTATACTATTGGAAAGTAAATTCAAATCTTAGTCTAAAAATATAAAAGTCATTAAAATATTCAAAGGATTGATAAAGTTGTGATTTTTTAAATAATTCATACTAAGCGATGTCTCAATTGCTGAAAAACCGTTATATTTGAAATAACTTAGAAATCTTTTGAAAATTGATATTAAATGTCATGTATTTAAATTAAAAATGTTAAAAAGAATATTTAATTTTGCATTCTAGTTATTCTAGCCTTTTAAAAACTTAAATAAATGATGAGTTTACGATTTATTTCCAAGAAATCCCAATAGTCTTAGGCCACGAATGCATGAAAAATGATAAAAAATTACAAAAATGTAATTAAACAACATTGTTTATAAAGTTTAGTTTTTCAAAATCTTGCCCTACAATTTTAAAGTCAGTTTGTCACCTTGTGCAGTATTCTTGTTTTGTGTTGAACACAGGAATTACCATTCTGGCAGTATTCCTCGCCCGAATGAAATCTCGAGCCTCCTGTCCCATGACTGCTTTTAAAGTTTTGGTAACATTTTTTACGCAACTTTTAACTGTCTGTGTATGGCATGAAAAATGATAAAATTTAATAATAGGTGTTTCTCTACTGCTAGAAAATGACTCCAACTCATTATCAGACAAAAATTATGTAAAAGGTAGCTCGGTCACTGTGCCCGATTGCTAGCTCAATGTAATCTTTGGTTTAATTGTAAACCACATTGATGCATAGACTTTCATTATGAATTCAGTCTTTCATTATGATTTCACTTTCAGATTATAAGCTGAATGTATTGTAGCAATATATAATTTAAGAACTCTATTAGCCGGTGTGACCCAGCGAGACATAACAAGATGGTGGACAGAGACAACTGTTAATAACAACACAAATATCATTCAGATACTGAATGATACTGAATGATAAAGATCAGCAATGAGCAATCTGAGTAGCCGTGGCGTACTTGCCTCAGATACGTAAGATCCGTGGTTCAAACCCCACCTCTGGGCAAGTTTTGCGACATCGGTTGGGAAGGAGGCGTGAACCTCCTTTTAAATGCTCTTCCGCGGTGCTCTGTGAGAAGACTGTAAGGACTTCTTGGGGCACCTAAATCAACATTAAAAAAAAAAAAGCAATGCCCACACTCTGAAAATCACATTCGATTTTCGAAAACTGTATCATGGGCAACTTCATACAATTTGTCAATAATGCATTATCTCAAAAACTTCATATTCTGGCATATTAGGCATTTTTTTTAGATTTGAAACCAGTTTCAAATAATTTTCATTATGAGAATTGATAATTTGCACAACAAGAGTCTTTGAAACAGATGAAATACTTGCCCGATACCATGTTTTGACTCTGGATTTTCAAGTCATGTTGATTCCATAAACATATCTATTTGTGTTGGCAGCATGCTCAACTTTATTTGTTTCAGGTTGCCAAAAATAAGACAAGCAGGAGGTTTTCACGATGCAACGTCAATTGTTGATGTCATATACCCAACTACAAGCAAAATAAAAAATTATGAGACCAAAAAAATATTTGCCGAGCAATAGAAGTTGCACTTGATTTTTTTATATTATTTTAATTTCTCGAATTTTTTGGTTAAATTTGGTTTGGTTAATTTTACTGGACTTAATTGCATGAAAATAGTTGAAAAAAATGAGGTAGCCTAATAATAGTAATGTTATAGTAGGGTATATCTAAACAGCATAAGCAACATAATTTTAAAAAAATATTTATTACAAACGTATTCTGTTGGGTAGATACAGAGTAAAAATGACTAAAAAATTTATATATTTTTTACAAACTAAAATGATATAGCAATTTATTTTGTCTAATTTAACTATTTGGATGTCATTAAACATGAAATTCCTTTTAAAAAGACAAATAGTTTTTGCATTCTAGTCATTGCAACAATTTAAAAATTTAAATCATTAATTTAGATTTTTAAATTGCTACAACAACTAGAATGCTAAAAATAAAACATTCTTTTTAACACTTCAATTTAAATGCATGTCATTTAAAATCAATTTCCAAAGGATTTCTGAGTTATGTCAATTATAACGGTTTTCGAGCAATCAAGACATCGCTTAGTATAAATTCTTTGAAAAATCAAAACATTATCAATCCTTTGAATATTTTAATGACTTTTATATTGTTAGATTTGGATTTAAATTTACTTTCCAATAGTCTAATACACTTTATGATAAGACATTTGTGAAAAAACTATTTTGCAAAAAATATTGACTTTTGACAAAAAAATCAAAGTTTTCCAATATTAAATCTCCGGTAGACATCACCCAAGTGACAACTTTTGGGAACTATTAGAATTCATTTAGAAAAAAAAATTTTCACTCCACCCTAATATAAATATAAATTAAATCCAAATTTATAGGTTCGTCGTCGGTCGCACGAATTATTGCTTTGTCCGTCCTTGACATGGAAAATTTTGAGCAAAAATCTTGCTCTACACCCGTGTAGAGTACCCATACCCATTTAGTACCTATACCCGTGTAGAGTACCTGTACCCATTTGGTGCAAAAAGTGAAGATGCAATTATATGTGTTGTTTCTATGCCGATTGGTTTCTAGAGCATTTTGTAACTAACCCGTTATTTTATTGCCAAGTTGTGTTCAGCAATGAGGCTCATTTTTGGCATATGGAGTGAG